GTATTTTAAACTGTATAAAAAAAATTGAAATCAATTGTGAAAATCCATTCCTTATATAGGACGGTCTCTCCTGTTATGACTTACATATAAATTAACACTGCCTATAACGGATTCACGTGATCTGATATAAAATGCAGATCAATATTATTAATATTATTTATTAATAAAAATTATTATCTGTAATCGCAAAATAAAAAAAATAAAAAATGATTATAAAAAATCCAACAAAAAAAATTTAAAACAATTATTTGAAATAAATGATGTAAGATATGATGTAATGAACTAAAAGTATATGTAAAAATGACTAATAATAAAATGATTTGGATAATTATACTGTAATAAAGACCTATCGAACAAAAATAAAGTGGATGTGATGTAATCTACTAAAGTATATATAGAAAACAAATAAAATGTTAGTGTTAATAATGAGGTGTTTTGTCATAATTACATGATTCTTGAATTCTAAATTCTTTTTCAAAATCAACTATAAATTGATTTTGATTTCTCTCAGTTTTCACATCCACAATTCAAAATTTCCATTATTTTTTAAAATGTCATTAAATAAAAGAAAATCTTTAACTGCTCTGGTAAAAAGAGAAATTTGTTTAGCAAAACAGACAACTCCAATTCCAACAAACAAAGAATTAGCAACAACTTTTGATATAATTACAAGTACAGTTAGCGATATTTTAGGAGAAAAGGATAGGTGGCTTGCTATTGATCCAGAATCTTCTGATGCAAACAAGAAAAAAAGAAGAAGTTTGGTATATGAAGGAGTTGATCAGGCATTAGCTATTTGGATAGAGCAAGCCATTAATGCAGGTTTAGACATTACTGGTGATATTTTGAAAGAAAAGGCAATAAAATTTGCTTCACTTCTTAAAATTGATAATTTTAAAGCATCAGAAGGATGGTTAATAGGATTCAAGCAAAGACACAATATCAAACAATATACAAAACAAGGTGAAGCTGCTAGTGCTCCCATTTCACAATTACCTGCTTACAGAGAAGAATTAAGGAATTCTATTACAAATCAATATCAATTATGTGATATTTTTAATG